AATCGTACGAAAGACCGTGACCAAACGGGAATCAGGGTGGCCGGCGATAAAGGACAGACAAGTACTTAACTCGAAAAGAGATACGAGACTCGACTTTATCGTTGCGTATATCGGTTAATTCGCAAAGTCATGTAAAAAACAACAGCAGATTTCAGAGTATTTATATATTACAATATTCTTTAATATGTTTAAATAATGCAATTAATGTAATAAATTTAAAATCTTTTTTGTTTTATACAATTGTTTTATATAATTTTTAATATTAAAAATTTTTAATATTAAAAATTTTATAAAAGTTGAATTTTGTAAGAACTGTTCCAAATTTTAAAAAATATTAAATTTTACAAATGCGAGCAATGAGTCATGTCTTTCTTTGTGAAAACCTCGTTGGGACCCTTGAAGAAAATGTGTGTATCCCATGATTGAAGGCACAATGGCGGAAGGCGATGTGGATGTCAAGACGTGGCTCGTCTGGCGAGAATCGGTAAACCGAGAACTTAATGTCTCGGAACGGACGCCATATTAGCATATCCGCATCCAATCGTCGCCCACGTGGCATGGGTACCGTGGCGAATCGGGCCCGGGCTATGACATTGTCATTATTTCACTGACAGAACAAGCATGCGCGCGATTCTCCACGGGAAGTATCGCTAACAAGGGTGGGAAGAACGGTGGACAGATTTCGAGAAAAGAAGACAGATACAGACTGCTTTAAATGAAACCATGTTTCATTCCCCCCAATCTCGCTTTCAATTTCCGCTTATTTTTTAAATAATTTTTAATAAATAATTTTCTTATTGAATGTATCTTCATTTTCATGAGTGCATAGAAAAAAAATAATTATTAAATAAAATTGAATGTTTCAAAGTGGAAATTCGCGAATCTATATTTATTAACACAATAAAAATATAATTGCTAATCTAAAAAGATCAAAATCGAATAAGAACGAGTTAAAATAAAAAGAAAGGATAAAAGTAGAGTAAAGAAGTTTACCGCGATATAAAGTACGAGAAAGAGAAAAAGAGATGATGAAAAGAGCGAAGGGATGATGGGAGTCCTCAGGGGGCCCTTCATCGCTCTGTAAGGGATACAACTACGAGATCCGGGTGCTCTATGTTATTTATCTTTATGGACCTCGGACAGAGGGTAAGTACACTTGCTTCGGGGGTGGTGAAGGGGCGAGCTTAAGCCGGAACGAGGGCGGTAAGAGATTGTTTGTCGTATTGGTCGCGGTTTCGACGAGCTTAACGTTACCCGTTTAGGGGATTTCGCAATGGCTTTCTCTCAAAAGAGAAAGACAAGAGCTTGTACCTCTATACCAGAATTTCTTGGTGTCTTTTATTCGTGGAAATAACACAATTCAAT